TAGTGCCTGGCAGTGTGCAAGTAATTCCATGACAGCTGTGTGAGCCGAAGTGTGCAGAAAAATTCTTAGCTGCAGGGCTGCCCGGCGGGAGTGAGACATCAGCATCTGTCGCCTGTGTCGGCCCCCATTCAGAGTTCGACTATGTCACTGGGAAACACTTCAGGTTGGGTCTAGGAAAATGAAGGGAAGAAATACCACCCGTCCCTAAAGCTAAAAGTTGCATATTTCCCTGCCCTGCTTTGGGTGGTTAACCACTGTTACCACCAGTGAAGTAGGAGCCAAGCCTGCCTTTCCCGGGAGCTGTTCCGAGGCTCAGCTGATCGCCCAGAGAAGCCTTTCGCTCCTGAGTCAAGGTCCTGAGTGAATCTCTCTCCTCTCTCTCCCCCGCTGATGGTCCCTTAGTGACATCTCCCTTAACCTGGGCTCCTGTGGTTTCTAGGTTTCTGCTCTCAGGAGGAAATAAAAACCTATAACCCAGGAATAGTAACTATGTTGTTTTTCTAACAGTATAAAGTTTAAGTTTAATCTAGATTTAGATATGCTTTATTACTATTGCTTCATGAGATTCATATATAATTATAGCTGTCATCAGGCTTGTCAGAATTTACTCTGAGGAGTCCTGGGCTCCTTCCAAACAGGGCGTGACTTGTGTCTGCAAGCAAGGTAACAGAAGATTTCCATGGCTCCTTCCATAGGGCTCTCCTTCAGGAAAGCTTGGAACAGCAGTGGCCATATTAGAATGACTGTTGTTCCTTTTTTACTTTATTTTTTTACATCATTCTTCATTTTGCACATTTTTTCATCTCAGTTGTCATCCCCATGAGCTTCTCACCAGGATTACTGTTGTTTCTAATTGAGGATACATTTATGACATGTATGTGTTATCTACAGATAATAGTTCCAAAATGTAGCAAGTCGAAAACAACACCCTTTTTTTTTAAAGGATTTATTCAGAGCCCTCCCTGGTGGTGTAGCAGGTTAAAGCACTAAGAGGCTAAGGCCACTTCCACATGAGTTCGATTCCCGCCTGCCCCGGAGGTGGCCATGTGGCGCGGCAGACCTCTCCTGACCCGCCCGCTGCTCCCCTCAGCAGTGTACTTCATCGATCTGCCTGTTCTGCTCCCCACTCTGTCTCTGGTGAATCCTCTCACCCTCCGCATCTCTGGCCTGTACCCCAGTTCTGTATGAATAAATAAATAAATCTAAAAAAAAAAAAGGATTTATTCATTCATGCATACAGAACTGGGGTACAAGCCAGAGGTGCAGGTGTGGTAGAAGACTCACCAGAGACAGAGTGGGGAGCAGAGTAGGCAGATGGATGAAGTACACTGCTGAGGGGAGCAGTGGGTGATACAGGAGAGGTCTGCCTCGCCATGTGGGTCACCTCCAGGGTCAGGGATCGAACCTGCACTGAGATGGCTGTGGTAGCTTACAGTGCTGCATCCTAGCCTGTTGCGCCACCAGGGAGGGCCCACAACACCTATTTTTTAAGATACAATTTGTATGGATCAGGAATTTGAATCCCCTGCAGGGTCCCCTGTTGCAAGGTCTCTCAGTGGGGGTGAGCCCAACCCTGAAGGCTGGGCCAAAGAAGGCTCCACTTCCAGTTCATGCGATTGTGGATAAAACTCATATCCGGGTCCTCCTTGTGGCACAGCGGGTTAAAGCACAGCACTGAGAAACTTAAGCTACTTCTGCATGAGTTCGATTCCCACCTGCCCCGGAGGTGACCACATGGCGTGGCAGACCTCTCCTGACCCGCCCGCTGCTCCCCTCAGCAGTGTGCTTCGTCGATCTGCCTGTTCTGCTCCCCTCTCTGTCTCTGGTGACTCCTCTCACCCTCCGCATCTCTGGCCTGTACCCCAGTTCTATATGAATAAATAAATAAATCTTTAAACAAACAAACAAACAAAAAAACTCATATCCTTGACGGTTGTTCCACTGAGGTCCCCAGAACTTGCGAGCCCTTGGACAGATGCCCACACCATTTCTTGCTGTGTGTGTCCTCTCCATGGGTAGGTGCTTTAGCAAAGCCAAGAAGGCAGAGGAGAGAGCTGACTGGCCAGAAGGAAGGCAGAGTCCCAGCGGCCCACCCACGGGTGGGGTCATGCTCTTAGCTGTGACCTGTTCTCTTGGTTAGAGGCAAGATGCTGTCCACGCTGTCCAGCCACCCTCATGGTACAAAAAGGGCATCTCAGAGCATGAATGCTACATATGGTGGCCTCGCCTTAGATTCTACCTACCCAAGTGATGGTTTATTACATTTAGTACGGAATATATGCTAAACAGACATAGTACAGAACATCTAGAAATCATACATCTATCTATTACATCAGGATATCTATTCAGCTTCTTATATTATCGTTAGTAAATTATGGACAAGAGGTATTTCGAATGCCCTTTCCAATTGGGAATTTTAAAAGCTCTAAATAAAGATGAGAAAGAATGAGCAAAAACGAATAGTATGAATCTTATTCCATGGCTAATCTTGGGTCACCCTGGACTCGAATCAAATCCTATAATAAAGATATCGTTGATCCCAGACTCTGGGCCTTTCCCAGCCTGAGTTCCTGTTGTGTGTACGGATCATGCTTCGGCAGTAGCAGCCCTCAATATTTTTTGTTTACTAATTTACTTTGTTTTTTAAAGGGCAAGCTTTTTATTTGTTAAAGATTTATTTATGAATACAAGATCTGGGGTACAGGCCAGAGGTGCAGGGGGGTGAGAGGATTCACTAGAGACAGAGTGGGGAGCAGAACAGGAGGAGCCACTGAAACACTGCTGAGGGGAGCAGCGGGCGGGTCAGCAGAGGTCTGCTGCGCCCTGTGAGTCACCTCCTTGGCCAGGGATTGAACTCGGTCAAAGCAGTGATAGTGCTGAGACTTGACTCCTAGGCCACCGTAGGCTCCAACCCTGGACTCTATAGATAGGCCAGGGGAAAGGTCTAGAGTCCACTGAACTGCCCTGTCAGGGGATGCATGTGGAATCGAGAGGGATGCTGGGTGTACTGCTAGAAGGTAGATCCCCTGAAGCTTAAATAATATAGGACAATAGCCTCAGATAAATAAATGGACATTTTCTGGATGTGTTCTTGCATCTATAAAAATTGAGATGTCCAGGACGCTAGCTAGATTGATACAAAGGTTGAGATCAGCTCAATGTTCACCTGAAGGCAACTTTGACTTGATTAAAATAACTTGTATATAAAGATCACTCCTGGGAAAGCAGGTTTTTAAAAAAAAATTATTTATTTATACACACAAGAACTGGGGTACAGGCCAGAGGTGCTGGGGCTATGAAAGGACTCATCAGAGTCAGAGTAGGGAGCAGAGCAGGCCGATCGATGAAAGACACTGCTGAAGGGAGCAGCGGGCGAGGCAGGAGAGGTCCGCGGTCCCATGCGGGTCACTCCGAGGGCGGGGATCGAACTCATGCTGAAATGGCTTTTTAGTGTTGTGCTTTAACACACTGTGCCACCAGAGAGGGCCCCTGCAATTATTTCTGATGCAAAGTCTTAGTGTGCAAATTTCTCAGTCTCCTTGAGTTTTGGTTTTCTACTCTGTTAAATAGGAACAGCTGCCATACCCTCTCTGGTAAAGGTTCAAAGCACCAATGTGTATAAAGCATTTCCTGCAGGACTTGGCATGCTGTTAACACTAAAGGTGAACTGCTTTTATTAATAGTAGTGAGGATATTGGCTGAGTGATGCTTATGTACATAATTTCAGGGTGTAGGTGTGTCTCATATAACCCGAGATGTTTGTGTAAATATTTTTGTGATATAAATATAACTCAGGCTGTTTATCATCCATGCAGTCACTTCATGCAGTGTGTGTGTGGGGGGCACACAGAGTAGGTGGTGGCAGTTAGAAAAATAGAAGTCGAGGGGGTACACCCTACCCAAGGAATCAGCAGAGTCTTAGGAAAGCGTGGAACTTGAAATTTTGCAGAAGAAAGGCCAGTCTAGTAGCATTTGTAGAAACCAGATGTGTTAGCGCAGTGATTTACAAACTTTGCTAGCAATCCATAGTAAAAAAATTAATTCCATTAAGGTTCCCACTACAGGGCCCATCCTGGTGGTGCAGAGGGTTAAGGAACAGCATTATGAAGCTATCAGTAGCCACTTGGTACGAGTTTGATCCCCGGCAGGGAGCTGACCCACATGGCACAGCAGGCCTCTCCTGTCTCCCCCAGCACTCCCCTAGCAGTGTAAAGTATATCTGCCTGTTCAGCTCCCCACTCACACTGTCCCTGGTGGATCCTCTCACCCCCCATAGCTCTGGCCTGTACCCCAGTTCTTGTAAGCATAAATCTTAAAAAAAAATTCCCAGTACAAGTAGGCATGTCTCTGTTGCAATTTTGTAAAACTTCTGCACCATATAGTACCTCCTCTGATAACATGTTTTGGTTATTTATAGTCTCTTTTAATTTTTTTTTTTTAAGATTGATTTATTTATGCATGCAGGCCAGAGGTGCTGGGGCGGTGAGAGAAAAAGAGTAGGGAGCAGAACAGGCCAACTAACTGAAATACACTACTGAGGGGAGCAGCAGGTTAACAGGAGAGGTCTGCTGCGCCATGTGGGTCACCTGCAGAACAGGTAGGGAGCGGACTCATGCTGAAGTGGCTTTAGCTTCTTAACTGTGATTTAACCCGCTGTGCCACCAGGGAGGGCCCAATTCCCTTTTATTTTAATCTTAATAATGACCCACTGCATTGATGCTGTTGAGAGACCCCCAATCTAAAATATTGCCCAAGAGTTGCACACTCTTCTAATCCAAAAGAATGAAATGGTAGCTCCTTTTTTTTTTTTTTTTTTTTACTGTAAATTCTCACCCAGCCTTTAATCGATAATGAATGGTTTTGCTCTTCCCTGCAGGATAACTTGAACTTGGGGGTGATTGTTCAGACATGGTCGGTTACAACCCACAAGCGAAAAGTCAGCACTCAACTCTGTCCCTTTTTTTTGTTTTTAAACTAGGTAGTTCCCATTCGTCAGCAGAATGAGCACAGAAAGGGACTTAGAAACGACATTTGAGGAGGATTCTCAACCCAACGATGAAGTGGTTCCCTACAGTGACGATGAAACGGAAGATGAACTAGAAGACCAGGAGCCCCCGGTGGAGCCGGAACAGAACCGGGTCAACAGAGAAGCAGAGGAAAATCGGGAGCCATTCAAAAAAGGTACCAGCAGGCCCCTACCTCGCCGTGGCCCAGGTCAGGGCGCGCCCAGGGCCCCTACCCGGTCGCCCCGCAGGAGGATGCGCTCGCCGAGCCGGCCGCAGGCTCCAGGCCCAGAGCATCTTCCTTCTCTTACCGTGGGACGCCACAAGGAGAATGGTTGATGGCAATGTCCCTGCTGTGATCAGTGTGCAGGGCTGGATGACTGTCGGACACACTCTGAGAAAGTAAAAGTGCTCGTTGTCTAGGTTTTTTGTTTTGTTTTAAAAGATTTATTTCTGCATAAGAACTGGGGTACCAGCCAGAGGTGCAGGGGCGCTGAGAGGACTCACCAGAGACAGAGTGGGGAGCAGAACAGGCAGATGGATGAAGTCCACTGCTACGGGGGGCAGTGGGCGGGCCAGGAGAGGTCTGCTGCCCATTTGGGTCAGCTATGGGGCAGGAGATGGAACTCACACCTAAGCGGATGCGGCAGCTTCGCAGTGCGGCACTTTAACCCGCTGCGCCACCAGGGAGGGACATCTTAGTTATTTTCACTGTGAGTTTATTTTGCATTTTTGTACACCACACACAAGAGACTTAATTTCCCTCCGACTTGTTTAGGGAGTTGTTATTGTCAGTTCTACTCTTATTGTCACAAAAGGCAAGACAGTGTCTTTTTCATAATCTCTTTTAATTCTTACCACTTTCCTACCATGGCAAACAGATGTCTTTTCTGGTAACTCTTTTGCTCCATGAGGAGGAAATATGACATGTATTTGGGCCCAGATTTGCTCCAGAGCTCAGAAACTCAACAATGTTTCCTCCCTGGTCCCTATTATTCTAGCTAAATAAGTTCTGTTCCCCCTTCACAGAAGGTCTCTGAAATTGATCTTTCCCACCCCCCAAATGTGCCACTCGATAGCCTCAGAGTAGCATCTCATTTGACCTGGGTTCCCCAAAACTCCGTCACTGCTGGTCTCCCCTCCAGTTTTACCTGGGTCCTGTCTGCTCACGTCACCCACTTCCTGTCCCATTCTCCTGGGTCCTGTTGCTGGCCCAGCTGAGAGATTTCGGTTTCTACAACCCTGAAAATCCTTTCATGGATGCCGCCTGCTCGCGTCGCACAGACCTCTTCACTCCGCTCTGTGGGGTGTCACACAGCCACCCGAGCCCCCTCCCACCGCTGAGACTCGGGGAGGCCACGAGTTCCTGTGTGTCACCTGCCTTTTGCCCAGCTTCTCAGACTCGATCTTTCTGTGGGCTTCTGCCTGTAATTTTAAACCACTGAGTATTAACCTTAAGTGCTTTTTACCTACAACTAGAAGATACTAAAATCACAATGAGGCTAAATTAAATCCCTGGAATCGCTGCAGGCCCAGCAGGAATGTGACCTGTGTTGAGGCAGGGCCAGACTGGGGGAGAAGTCGAAGCAGCCCTGCATGGTCGGGAGGGAGTTATAGCTCACTGCCCCGTTGCAGGTGGTTCTTCCTCATTCCTGCGCTGCCTGTACTTCGGGGTTTCATGTCATGATCTGGGATCTCCACTACGTGTGGCAGCCTGCAGAGCTGGCAGAGAATGGCTCGGGGGCGGGCAGTGACTGCTGCCAGTGCTGGTGCCCGTCGCTTGAGGTCACAGGGGAGACACAGCAGCTGGGTGGCTGGGGAAATGCCTGAGACGCACGGAGCGGGTAGAAACTCTCACCCCTGTTTTTTTCCAATGCTGTCTTCACATGCTGTGCCGGGGCCTCTCCTGCCTCTTCTGCAGGCCATTCTGCTTGTCCACTTCAGTCCTTGGCATGCAGGCACTGAAGGAGCTTAAACTTGACCTTGACTCTGCGTCATCCTTTCTAAAATCTATCTTTTTTAAAAGGACAAAATTAGGGCTGTCCCAGTGGCGCAACGGGTTAAAACAGCACCATGAAGCTCTCCATACCCACACAGCACAGGGTAGATCCCTGGCCAGGTTGCTGGCCCACATGGCGCGGCAGACCTCTCCTGGCCCGCCTGCTGCTCCCCTCAGTCAATTTGCCTGCTTTGCTCCCCACTCTGTCTCTGGTGAATCCTTTCACCCTCCACACTTCTGGTCTGTATCCCAGTTCTTCCATGTATAAATAAATAAATCTTAAAAAAAAAAAAAAAGATAAAACTAGCAAACTAGCAGGGAACTACAAATCAGGCATGTAGCAGGGGAGGGAGAGGGAGAAGGGTTGAAACGGGAGAGAAGAGCACAAGGGACTGTGGTGATGGTTCACAGGTGACTTGGTTGTGGGGATTTTATGGGGACGGCATCTGAGAGGAGAAAGCACGCTGTACAGAAATGAGCAATGATGTAAAATAGAGAAATAAATAAAAAACTTATTCTAACACATCTGTCCTTTCCAAGCACACAGAGAACAATCATTAAGTGCTAACCTCTCCTCCCATTCCTGATTTTTCCTGGGTCCTCCACAGCCAGTCTGCTTCCTCTCCCTCCTTCCCTCCTTCTCTCTCCTCCTCCCCCTCCCCCCAATTGTTTTCCATATTCTCACTTGGGCATTTTCCTACTGAAGGTCTGTGTTGCCATTTGCCATCAAGAATCATGTCCTCCAAAGAATTCCATTGTTTTCCAGCCCTCTGGAGTTCCGTGACTCCAGTGGCCCTTACAACAGAGCCATCAATCACATCCATTTCTCTATCACCTTTTCCTCTTTTTTGGTGACATCCTTGACCCACTGAGCTTTGGAGCTAAGTGAGTGTTTTTGAGAGACTCACTGCAAGGTCTTTTTAGCTGAAGGACTTTGATTATGTGACAATCAAGAACAAGTGTCAACTTGCGGCTAGAATGTGTGCGGGAAAGCGATAAGGCCACGGATTTTACTCACGTGATTTCACTGTAGGTTTCCATGGCACGAGGACTCACCGAAGCAGTTCATGTTTCCGGTGCCAGTAGGTGAACTTCCTCCCAATGAACACACTTGAGTGGTATTCCCCATGTCCATCCCGGGAACCCTGTCGATGCTTCAGGATTCAGGTTGCTTTGCCTCATCTCAAAGTAGTCCATTCACAGAAAAGGATCCAAGAAACTTGGACTTCAAAGGAATAACTTGAATTGCATTCAACCTGCATTTAGTCTCCTAAAATTCCTTGGCTCTGAAATGTTGGCTTGGTTGGTTTTGTTGTTCTTGAATTTTAGCTTGCCATTCCAGTCTCCTGGTAGTTCTGCATCATTCAAGAACTGCCGAGGGGTGAAGCATTTAGTGCTCTGAAAGGGGACCCAGATTGGTGCAAACTGGCTTCTCTTCTGAGCCTGGAGGTGGAGTGAGAAAACGGTCTCCTGTCTCCTTGGTGACCCTGCTCTATGGACGAACACATAGCTTCCCTGTGTGACAGCCAGTTCTCACCTGATTTCTACTTTCTCCTCCTGTCTCTTGCTCTTATGACCAAAGTTCTGGAAACCAGTTTCTCTACCACTCTGTCCTCCTATTCTGCTGGGTTACCCCTCTCTGGTGCCCCCACCGCCCTGGGGAGAACGATGCTTTTGTAAAGGTCACCAAGAAGCCTGGTGCCAAATTCAGTGAGTTTTTTTTTAATCAAGCATCTTCCACCCCATTTTCTCTGAAGAGCTTGACCTTTTCAACCGCTTCAGGAAACAATGGCCTCTCCATCCCAGTTCCTGTTTTTCCTTTCTCCCGGCTTCTCCTCCTTCCATGCTTTGTTTTTTGTTTTTTTTTTTTTACAGATTTACTCATGAATACAAGAACTGGGGTGTGGGAGGTGAGAGGAGTCATCAGAGACAGAGTGGGGACCAGAACAGGCAGATCCACAGAAACACACTGCTGTGGGCAGACAGGAGCGGTCTGCTGTGCCCTGTGGGCCAGCTCCCTGGCCGGGAAATGGATCTCGTGCTGCCGTGGCTGTGGACAGCTTCTCGGTGCTGAGACTGAACCCTTTGGCCACCAGCGAGGCCCCCTCCTTCCATCTCTTAAATGTTCACCTGCTCTACACAGGCCACTGAGGCAAGCACACCCCCTTTAATCTGCCCTGTACCCCATCTCTGGGTGACTCAGGCAGCGCATGGTGGTGGAAGGGAATGTGCTGCATATTGTCCTTAAGTTTCAGTCTCCTTTTGTAGCTGCATGACGTTGAGGAAGGGACTTCCTGTCTCTGGGCCTCGGGGTCCCACTTGTAAAATGGGCTCAATGTCAGTACCTACTTCACTGGGTGTGTGGGAGGGTTAATCAGGTAAACTTCACCCTCACCTTAGAACCGTTTCAGGCATGCAATAAATACCCCATAAATATCCTTACCCTTTCCCATAGTTCTCCCCTTAAAGATTTATTTGTTTATGCATACAAGAACTGGGGTACAAGCCAGAAGTTGGGGGGTGAGAGGATTCACCAGAGACAGAGTGGGGAGCAGAACAGGCAGATTGACTTAGTATACTGCTGAGGGGAGCAGCAGGTGTGTCAGAGTGGTCTGGTGCACCACATGGGTCCCCTCCCTGACCAGGGATCCAACTCCTGCTGCAGTGGCTATGGACAGCTTCACAGTGCTGCGCTCTAACCCCTTGCGCCACCAGGGATGGCCCATAGTTCTCACCTTAATACCTTTCTTGTCAAGTCCACCCATCATCTCCTCATCTTTCCATCATCAAATCTGGACCCCTCTACTTCTCTTTGGAATATTTAGACTCTCCCGTTCTCCCCAACCTGAGGCCCACACTCACATCTGGGTGGAGAGATGAATGGGATAAACCACAGTTGCTTTTCCCAGCAACGCATTTGTCCATACACTCAGGAGATTTTGGAGACTTGCTGTCGTCCTCTGCCTCCTTGCCAGCCCTTCCCACGCATGCACACAGTCTTATCCAGCCATCTCTCTCTCTCTCTCTGTCTCTTTTTTTTTTTTTACAAAAGTTTATTTTTACATCATTTCAGTTGTAATCCCCGTGGGTTTCCCTGTGTGCCATCACCATAATGCCATGAATTTCCCTCCCCACCCCCACCCCGTTTTTGATCCCATTCCCCACTCCACCCCCGCAAA